CCCTGATTAACAACGACTTTGAAGGATAGAGCCGGATCGATACGTATCTCGAATCTTTCTGACACTGTTCCTCCGTTTGGGATGGTTGTAGAGAGGTGGAAAATTGGATAACTATCCCTTGTTTATTGCAGATGGCGATCCTGGCAAGGCTTCACAGATCCCATGCAGGACAACTCGCAATGGTAGATGCGGCACAATACACTTGGTGGCCTCAGATGCACCGAGATGTCTTTCAAATGTGTAAAACTTGCCCTCAATGTACCAAGTTTGGTAGGTGACTAAAGTCTAATCTATCGTTTGATTTTTCCCAGGTTTTACCTTCCGCGGTCAATTACATTTACAGTACCCAATTTAAATCTTGCCGGGATACTATGCCGGACTCTACAATTATAGACCAATCAGGTAGCAGCTCTCATACTGGCTCTGTGTCGCCAGAGGGAGTCAATTCTGGAGTCATCCCATTGAACAAATCAAACGCATGCACAATTGTCTCATCGTTGCAAAAGGGCAACTATTTGAAAGACAGCCATTTCGACCAATCAGTGAAAAAATCTGCATGATAAGTCAGCACGAGAGGACGGCTTATTTTTCTCACAAAGTCAAGTCCAATCAGATTGCAGCACATGTATTTCATCCACAACTGCCAATTTTTCAGCATATTTCCGAAATTTGCTGCCATTTCAAAATAATCTTCTCGTGCTATCTGTCTCATTTCTAACTTTGAGCATTTTCGCTGATCTATTCTTGTATATCGCTAACTTCCGAGTTCGCGGTGTCGGTTTTATTATCCTCTTGTTTCTTCAGAGAATGTTGAATCCGTCTACTGCCAAAGACGATTGCTTCAAACGACATTTGAATCAATTTGTTACCTTGGACAGACCGTTGCTCACGGTGAACGGCGCGCCACACTCAAAAATTTGGGCGCGGCTCGCCCACGGAAGAAGTCTTCTGCTGAGAGAGTAGCGGCGTTAAAAACCGTGTATTCGCGGGTTTTGGCAAACCTTCGATCCAGCCGATTAGAACCTGGAAGGAGCCGCACAGAGTTCAACAGGATGCAACGGTAACAAAGACTCAGCTTGAGCATAATGAAAAGTTCGCAGGTCTCTTCGGATCGGAAGTCACTGGCTGGTCTCGTGGGAATCCTCGAAGCGGACGTGCTGTCAGAGTCTACAGACGAAGGTCATAGCCTTCGTCTTATGAAAAGGGCCCTAGTTAACAACAACTATAAAGGATTGCGCCTGATCGATACGTATCTCGAATCTTTCTGACACTGTTCTTCCGTTGGGGATGGTTGTAGAGAGGTAGAAAATCGGATGACTATACGTTGTTTATTGCAGATGGCGATCCTGACAAGGCTTCACAGATCCCATGCAGGACAACTCGAATTGGTAGACGCGGCGCAATACATTTGGTGACCTCGGATGCACCGAGATATCCTTCAAATGTGTAAAAGTTGCCCTCAGCGTACCAATTTTGGTAAAGACCTTAAGTCTAATCTATCGTTTGGTTCTTCCCAGTTTTTATTTTCCCCGGTCAATTGCATTTACAGTAGCCATTTTAATTCTTGCCGGGATAATATGCCGGACTCTACAATTATAGACCAATCAGGTAGCACCTCTCATACTGGCTCTGTGTGTCTCATTGAACAAATCAAATGCATGCACAACTGTCTCGTCGCCGCAAAAGGGTTACTTTTTGAATGACAGCCATTTCGACCAATCAGTGAAAAAAAATCTGCCTGATAAGTCAGCACGAGACGACGACTTAATTCTCTCACAAAGTCGTGTCCAATCAGATAGCAGCACATGTATTTCATTCACAACTGCCAATCTCTCAGCATATTTCCGAAATTTGCTGCCACTTCAAAATAATCTTCTCGTGCTATCTGTCTCATTTCTAATTTCCAGCTTTTTCGCTGGTCTATTCCTGTATCGAACTTCCGAGTTCGCGGCGTCGGTTTTACTAACCTATTGTTTCTTCAGAGAATGATGATTCCGTCTACTGCCAAAGACGATTGCTTCAATCGACAATTGAATCAGTTTGTTCCCTTGGTCAGACCGTTGCTCACGGTGAACAGCGGGCCACACTCGAAAATTTTGGGCGCAGCTTGCCCACGGAAGAAGTCTTCTGCTGAGAGAGTAGCGGCGTTAAAAGCCGTGTATTTGCAGGTTTTTGACAAACCTTCTATCCAGCCGATGAGAATCTGGAAGGAGCCGCACAGAGTTCAACAGGATGCAACGTTAACAAGGACTCAGCTTGAGCATGTTGAAAAGTTCGCTGGTCTCCCCGGATCGGAAGTCACTGGCTGGTCTCAAGGTAATTTTCGAAGCGGACGTTTTGTCAGAGTCTGCATACGAAGGTCATAGCCTTCGTCTTATGAAAGGGACCCTGATTAACAACTACTATGAAGGTTAGAGCCGGATCGATACGTATCTCGAATCTTTCTGACAGTGTTCGTCAGTTGTGGACGGTTGAAGAGAGGTGGAAAATCGGATGACCATCCCTAGTGTATTGCAGATGGCGGTCCTGGCAACGCTTCACAGATCCCATGCAGGACAACTCGCAATGGTAGACGCGGCACAATACATTTGGTGGCCTCAGATGCACCAAGATATCTTTCAAATGTGCAAAAATTGCCCTCAGTGTACCAATTTTGGTAAGTAACTAAAGTCTAATCTATCGCATGATTCTTTCCAGCTTTCACCGAGACTACTAGATCCGAATAAGGAAGTCCAGTTGAACTATGCCGGTCCCCTTCAAGATCATGTGAACAATCAAATGTACAGTCTGGTCGCAGTTGACCGATATTCTATGTATCCATCAGCTATGCTCACACGCTCAACTAGGGGTAAGAAAAACATCAAATTCCTTGAGTCCTTACACAAAAATAAAGCAGTCCTAAGTCAATCAAAACAGACCAATATTCGGGGTTTAAAATTAAGTTGGTTAATTTTTTTTTTCTAAGGAGAAAATTGTCCGCCAACATTTTTGTCCTGTTGGAGATCATCGGGGCTGCGGTCAGTTGGAACGTTTTATCCAGACTGTCAAACATAGGCTGGGGGCAGCTAAACTATGCCCGGGTTTTGCTAATATTCAGGATGCTCTTCGTTTTTTTTTCTTTTGATTTAGAATTTGGTCGGAAACCAAATACTGAAATTTATGGTTACGGTAATTTTTTTTTCGTTTGATTTAGAATTTGGTCGGAAACCAAATACTGAAATATCCTTTAACGCTGAACGTCTTTCTTCACTTTTTAATTTAGATAATCAACAGCTGAAGTGGGACCTTCTAACAGCGGAGCAGCGTCGAGAACACTGTGACAGTCGATCCAGAGTAAAAATCGTCCGCAAGTGGCAATCTAACCTATCGGTGTGTCCGTATTTCGATGGACCATCTATTTCAGTTGTCATAACTCCAATTTACAAGGCCTTGGAGAAACCTGGTTAAGTCAGCAAAACAGTGCTTGTCTCTTAAAATGACAATCTTTCACGATGAAGGACTCCGCACACTCAAGACCGTGATTGAAAGGAATCAAATCTTAGCCGCTACTTTAAGGTCGAATCAGTCGGTCGAAACCCTCAGATTCAGTACTCAGATGCCAGCGGAACAACTACAAACGTCGAGTAGCAAACGTTATTTAGATAGCCTAGTTCTTCATATTCCGGAAAAAGTCGAGATATTCCCCAAAATTCTAGAAAAGAAATCGGAACTGGAGCTATTCAAACCTTTTAAGGGCAAAAGCATCCGTATTACTGGGACAACGGATTTATTTGATGAGCATAAAGTCATTCGGAGAAATCGTGTTGCAGTTCACCTTGAACCATTCAATTCAGGTTTTTCAGGCAAGCAGGTCTCCCCGACCAAGATGGGGGCGGAAACGCGCAGCAAAGGCAACCAGGTCCAGTAGCTCCTCCACTTCGTCTCCTGATGACCACAGGTCTCTACGACCATCCAGTTCCCGCACCCGCATAGCAAGCAAAACAGTCTTGGTGCCCCTCCGCTCAAAACTTGTGGCTTCTCAAACCACTTTTACTCCAATTACTTCGAATCAATCGGCTAATGGATCGGTGAAAGTCCCTATGGACGCTCAGGACATCAGACCCGAATCAAACACAGGAAGCCTTAACCCGGTCGTCGATTTCACAATTTCATCGTCCAATTCTGGAAACCCTCAGGACACGTCTAGAACTCAGGTGCCAGCGCCTTCAAAAATTCCGTTGTTGCGTTGTACTGATCTTGTCCCCATTTCTTTGGATGTCGAAGCATAGCTCTCTACGCAACAGCAACAGAGAATAATCCGCTCATTCATATCTCGATTATTTCGAAAAAAAGCTTGGGTGGGGGAATATTTACGTGGACGAAAAGATCTAGAGTTCAGACAGGTTATATGGAAACAGATCAGCAATGCTATCAAATGCAAATCGAAAAACCAATATTTCCGTCGAAGAAGGACATAGAATTTTTCAATTAGTAATGGGATATGCTCACCAGACTGTTTCTAAATTCATTCAGCAAATAAGGAACGAGCAAATTTTAACGGAAAATTGCCTGATTTGGTTCAAATCCGGAGAAAAACACTATAAATGTCCGAAATATGAACAATTGCAACAAAGGATATCAGAAACTCTTAAAAACTATCAAAACAAAGATCTAATTTCGCAGCTGGAAGCTCTTCATATAACTTTGATCTGTAAAATTACTTAACAGCAAAGAATTTGTGACGCCTCCAAGGCTTTGATTTTTTTGCCGCTTTTTTGTTTCACATTTAGGTTATAGGGAGATTTAATTTTCTTCCGAGTCTTATACGAGTTGTCTCTTTTTGCGAGTTTTCTTTCTTAAGACTTTGCGAGTTGTCTTGTTTTGCGAGTGGTCTTTCGTTGCGAGTTGTCGCGCTACCATTTGTTGGCAATTATTTTTTCGACAATGAAGCGCTTATTTATTACAATAATAGCTGCAGTGAAACTAGCAAGCCCTGTCCAAAGAAGTCTTGAAAATTTTAGGGGTTGAGAGAATACTTCAGACGACCGAAGCTTGCCGACACCGACAGAGAAAACTCTACGTTGCGTCTGGCCAAAGAAGTGAAAGGCTACTTGGTCTTATTTCCCACACTCTTCCTCAGCCTTGAAGACATAGGCGATCTGAATGTCAATATCGAAGCATTTGCTCCCGAAAGACTGTGGTGCTAAAATTAGATTGAAATTTCATTTGAATTCGTATATATGATTTTAACAATCACACTTTTTGTCCAGCCAACTGAAATGAAGTTGAGTTTTTAGAGTCTGGAGACCATTTAAATGATGGAGAAACAAAGTTTTTCAACCTTCGTTGTCTGTGCACTACAACCGGGGACCATTTATCAAGTGGCCAGTTATCAATGTAAACAAGGCTGCTCGTATCAGGGCGAAGCCTTGAATTTTTCGACTAACTTTTAAGGTTTATGGAGCAGTAATAACCTATAAAAATTAATGTAATAAATAAACAAGAAAATTAAAAAAAAAAAACAATTTTTTCTGAAACTTGAAATTTTTTATGAAAATCATCCCCCCACACGCCATATAAAGTACAAAAGGATAGATTTCGCTCCCTGTAACAAACAAATAATGGCAAATAAAATTCTTTCAACCAATTTGGAACGATTCTTAGACGGATAAAATCTCCACTTATACGTTAATAGTGCGAAATATATCGCGCGTTAATTGTCCCAAATTGGCTTAAATGGCTATCTTTAAACACCCACAACTTTACGAAAAATGATCACACGTGAGATATCTTTTCAAATTTAAGCTCAGAACAACAATATCTTTTGAATGATTAAAAGTTCCGTCAAAAATGGCTCGTTAAAAAGTCGAAATTTGTCTGAAGAAAAAGCACCACGAGCACAAATATTCCGTTAATTTCGTATCGAAAGTCGGAACAAAAACTTAAAGTTCTCCTCTTATATTTTTTTTTCATTTTACAGGGTGATTTGAGGGGGCTGTTATGAGGGGGCTGTTAAGATTTTTTAAAATAAACTTATTATACGAGGGGGGGAGGGTTATAAGGGATTTTTTTAATTTCGAAATATTATAGAACATAATTTTCCAAAATTACGTCACTTTGTTACTTGAAAAGATTTTTAAAATGTTCAATCGTTTTGCTTCGCAATCGATTATTTGTGGATCTGAACTAAAATTTTTGATCTAAGGTATTAGATCTCCGTAATTTGGCTTTTGAAATGTGGACACAATTAGTTTCCATAAAGGAACAAGGATAGTCGGTTGCTGTAAAAGTAGCGCAGACTATTCCGACCACATTCATAAAAAATACTACGAAAGCTTTGTTCTTTTTCTTCTTCAAATTAGTATCGTTTTTAGTGCGCGTCTTAATAAGAGAACTATACAAATGTACTAGAGCCTAGTTCATTAACTCCTACCCTCATAGAAGGTTAGTGAATTAGCTACAAACGATTGCATAAATATTCAATAAATGAGTAACAAACAAAAAAACTGCTTAATAACTTTAATCTTTTTTCTATAAAAAACTTTCTGGCCAAATAAGCGCTGAATTGAACTTCCTAAACTAATTTTCTTTTTGTGAAATCAAGTTGTTTTTCGTCTCAATGTCAAAATAATTATTAAAATTTCGTATAACGAATGGTACTCGATTGCTTTACTCTCGAAACTGAACTAAGCTTCGTGGTAAGTATTTTGCGCGGTAAACGAAAAAATAACAAAATGTTATGTTCAATTTTTCTATCCCATTTTCAATGGTCTGAGCAATGAATTGAATTTTCATTCAAATTGCATAGTGGCAATAATACGCTGGAGATTAGCAAGCGTTATGAAACCGGAATATGGACTTCTTTTCGGGTTAACAACTAGTTTAACAGAACCATCGGAATAATTATACCGTTGATTCAAATGGAACAAAAAATCCGACGTTAATTCGCGCATGTGGCGAAGAGGTAGCGGACCTAACTATTAAAAAAAGTATCTGGTTCGAATACGGACAAAACCTGTTTTTTTTTTGTCAGCGGAAAAATATCAGCGCATCAAAAAACCTTTGCCGGACATCTGTTTGTCTGTTTTGTTTTTCAATTTAGCTATTACCGCAGCACCAAATTTGCCATAAAATTGTGCATTATATACTGATAAAAAAAACTTTTTCAGTGTACAGTGTATTCCTGTTTGGATGAGTAGTTCAGTTCCAAAAAATTTTGCCTATTTGTTTAGCTAGTTCTTGATTTCTTTTCAAGTTAATCATCAAAAATGCTCCCTTATCCGGTTGAATTAAAATCGAAATTTTTTTTCGGCAGGAGCTAATTAAAATGAATCTGTGTCCAGCTCCATTTCTTCAAAAACTAATTATTTACATCACATAACTTGTCAAAAAAATTATAAAAAGCTCCAACATTCTCAACTTTTTCATACTGAAGTTTAAAAAGTCCAACAATGACTGGTTCTCTGTGCTCAATTGAAGACTTTAACAAATCCACCTCGTATAATTTGTTCGCAATTGTATTCAGCCTTTTTAGCAAGGGTTCAACGATAGTTTTGTGAGTCTTCTCATCCTTGAAGTATTTGGTAATCTTGTGTCTGGATCGATCCATTATTTGGTTGTGCCTTTTCCGTTCATTGTGCCTTTTAAGTGAGTTGCATTAAGTTCGAGGAGAAATTAGTTTTTGCATCTTTTTGCCTTGAGAACGCAGTTTTTCACAATTGGCTCTCTTCTCTTATCTGGTTGACTACAATCAAAACATTTTTCTTCCGCAAAAACTAATTCAAAAAGTTTGTGTCCATCACCAATTCTTCACCTTTAATTACATCACAGGACTCGTCAAAATTTATGGTAGAGCTTCAATAATCTCAGCTTTGCGCACTGCATTACAAAACAATCAACAATTATGAGTTCAGTGATTCTCATACAAGACGTTCTCAGTCGTTCTCAATCATTTCAACAAGTGTGAGTTATTTATTTGAGTTTTTTTTATCGTTCTGTTATTTCGTGTTTTTGTTTTGTTTTGGTTTATCCCCAATGTCCGTAAGAAAAATCCGTAAATTCATAGTTTCTGCTACAAATCTTCATCGAGGATTTTTATCTTTTTCTGATATAGCTTCAACGACTGACTGGACGACTTTTTCAAAGGATTTTTGGGGAGATTACTGAACAAAACGGTAAGCTTTAGTAAACTGCAAGCCGATATTCGTGTAAAAATTAAGGGAGCGCATTAATTAATTATCCATTTTCTAGCTGGATTTTCAATATCTGCATTCTTTGAGGATGTTTTCAGTCTCGAGTGCTTAAATTTCATATAGTCTCCAAAACCTTTTCTTCCAGCATCCTTGTTTTCCAAATTTCTATAAAAAAATTTGAAAATTTTGGTTTTTGCTCATCTGGCATGGCACAAGTAAACTCCAATGAAGGTGGCCAAAAACAATGCTTGTTTTGGACAAACTGAAATTTATTCAAAGCAGTCTATTCTGACATGCTGTTTGATCTTATCAATGGTCTTGAGAAGTTTCCACCCCTCACATTCCCACATGTCGTATCAAGTGATCCATCTCCTTTTTTGTAACCTTGTTCAATACCTTGTTCTGTCGAAGGTAGTCGTCGGCCTTCTTGGCAGGAGCATAAAATATAGTAGCGCCTCTAATGCTTGGAAAACTTTTTTACGATGATCAGAATAACAATCCACAATAACACAGTTGGTTTTTGTTTGTTTTCTAGAAGTGAAAAAGGTCTTTATTCCGCAATCTGGTCTCGTTTTTTGGTAACAAGACATGACCATATTCTGAAAATTACGAGTACTGTTTTGTCTAACTATGAGTTTCGGCTATCCAGATTGAAGTCGCAAGTCATGTACGGTCCTGTTGATTTTTTGTTATAATGAGTTCAACGGAAGGTCCACAAGTGTTTTCTTCTGGTGTTTTGTATGCAAATCGTTATCACTCTTGCAAAATGGATAGAATTTGTGTAGGTTGGTGCAAACATATGTTTGCTAGGTTGGGAAATAAACATCCAATTTTTAACACATCAACTCCTTTGTTATGATAAAGTTGTATCAGTTTTTGCCCGGCCGTCAATCATGACAGTCATTTGGCCATTCGATGTTAACGAACAGGTATCGGCGAATGGTTCCGCAGAAACTACAAAAAACTGATAATATGAGGGGTATTTAGCAAATTACTCAGCAATTCTTCTTTTTCAATGATTTGAATAAAATCAGTGATATGCATGTTTCGAAATCTGTAAGGCTTTTTAAAGTAAGGTCATTGCAGTAAAACTATTATAGGATGCAGTGATTTAGATTATTTTCTTATAATTTTTTCTTTCAAAAACCTTCATTTTGTCCCAAATTTTGATAGGTTTTAGCTTTATGTGTGAAAAGGAATTAAAAATGACAAGGATTCATTTGCTCTGCAAAAACACCCTCCATAGTCTTATCATTATGATAATCACCATACAGTTTCCGTTCCAAAAGACACTCCACACTCACCGCATCGATTATATAATCATCACATATTTAACACGCCCGATCTGTTTTGCAAAAAGTTGGACAGTCTTACATAAAAACTACAAAAAAGTATGTCTTCCAGCCATCATCTTACCATTACCCTAACACTGAGTTCTTACGAATCGATTTGCATCACCAACAGGTTTAATGAGAAACATTTGAAAATTTTCTGACGTTCAAAATCAAAAGAAGTAGCTGATTTGAAGGTCATTTAAACACAGAGGCGAAGCGGAGCTGCGAATTACTTGCAAAAGTAAAAAAAGTAAAATTTGTTTTTATGGTTGCCATCAAATTAAAAACAAACCAAAAATTGAAAAGAAGCTGCAAAAAAAACAAGTTATAAAAATTGTGAAACAGGACAAAGATTCCTGAATCAAATCTTATAGAAAAGCATGAAAAAAACTCACAAAGTAGCAAAAAAAGGTATAAATTTTTCAAACTGAATAAGCCCAAAACCGGAATACACTGGTAACTTTTAATTCTTGGGTAAATTTGGTGCTGTGGTAATTAAGCCGACAAAAAGGCAGAAAAACAGAATTGTGACAAAATTTTTGGGACGCACCGACAACAAAAACAGGTTCTGGCCGGATTTGACCCATTGGTTTTTGTTTTTTATAGGTAAATCCGTCACCTTTTCGCCACATGCTTGAATTAACGTCGGAACTTTTAATTCATATGAACCATAGGAAATGATTCAAATAATTCTGTTAAACTAATTAAAAATTTGAAAAAAAAAATATTTTTTCCGTGCCAGCGTTATAATGTCAGTATGCACTTTAAATAAGA